TGTTATTTTATTATGCATTTTTATGGTACTAATATATCGGCTTCTGTTGTTTTTTGAGCCGAGAGTCTCCTGGAAACAGCCTTTCTACCCTTCGGGGTAGGGGTAAGGTCTGCGTACATATTACCCTCCTCAGACCCCACGTGTGGGATTATACTGGGTTGTTGTTGTTGTTGTTGTTGTTGTTTAATTGGCTATTTAAAATCTTGTTATGCTTAATAAAATCATTGAGAGACATTTTCAATCAATACTTTTAGTCTTTTTGTTACCCCATCTTTTTAAAAATCAACAAAAATTGATAAATCTGACAGACAAATTTAGTAAAACCGAAAAGTGTTCTGGAAACTGAAATTCTGATGCAAACTATCATTGGTTCATCAAAACTAAAAGCTAAATGTGCTCACTTGCAACAACAACAACCCAGTATAATCCCACTTAGTGGGATCTGGGGAGGGTAGTGTGTACGCAGACTTTACCCCTACCCTGAGGTAGAGAGGCTGTTTCTCACAACCTCTTGGTTGGAAGTGGAGATTTCTTACCATCAGAGCAAGTCATCTTATCCAAAATGTGCTCACTTGCATATTGATAATTTGATATTCAAAAATTAACCTGAGGGAAAAACTTTCACGGAATAAATTGCAAATGTTTTATTAACACACAGGTATTTCAACTGTCAGAACTAATGAGATTACAAAAATATTACTACTCACTCTGTTCCATTAAATATGGCATATTTTCCTTTTTAATATGTTTAAAAAGAAGATACGTTTCTCTATTCGGAATCTCTTTCACTATTTTATCATTAATGACATGCTCCATCAGTCACAAAACAAGTTGTGTGGGTAATTTAGGTGTGTGCTAGAAGTCTTTCAGTATTTCTTAAACTACGTATCCTGTCAAACATGTTGCACGTATGTACAACATATGCAAATCATCGGGAAAAGTAGAATGTATAATCTAAAATGCAATAGTTTATGGCATTAAATTGAAGTATATTGGCATGGCATTTTCAGTTTTCTATTTGCAGTCGTGATGCATGAACATATGTTAACAACGTCAATAATACATATACAATTGCACAAACTAACCAGTAAAGAGTTTAAAGGCAGTGGGAACACTTCTCGTTGGTGTGACCCAAAATATATCAGACTTTGTGGTCTTATACAGCCCAGGATCTATAACAATTGGCATTGCCCTTCCGTCCCTGCAAATGGTAACATGAAAATTAAAGCTTAAATGGTAAAATACAGCAACAAGATCGAGGACAAAGTGAGAAACAGAAAGAGAAGAATTAAAACATACTCTTTCCAACCTAGCTCGCTTGTATGCTCAATGAAATTTAATTCTCCTTTCAAATCGGAAAATGTGTAGAGAAGATCTACAAAAAAGGGAAATCAAACATTTCTTCTAAACAAAAGAATAAATAAGCGAGACATTAAAATATATATATATATAAGCGAGACCGAAAAGTAACCCAAAGATGGGTACTGGACAACTTGTGGTATGAGAAGGCTAAATTGGTAGATATTCGTACTTTCAACAATATGTGTTAGTTATTTTTTTTAATATTGAAAACTCATTGATCTGACTAATTTTGATTCGCGCAATAGGCCGTGTAGGCCAATAACCACGCCCTACTACGAGATGGCCCGACTAAATCGACCGATTCGTGCAATTTAGACTCACTGTGGGGTAAAATGATCTCTACCAAAAGGTGACCTGAATAAATCTAGGTTCGAACAATATATGTCCATTAAGAGGGGTAAAGGACTTCCTATCAAAAGGTGGACTGATTAATCCGATTTGCACAGTGTAAACCTACTAAGAAGGGTAAAGCACTCTCTACTAAGAAGTTCTTCATTTTCAGGACTCTAAATCCTCCGGAACAAGAGATTCTCTATCCTCAAAGTTCGAACAGAACCTGAGAGGTCTAATTAAATTTTAAAAATTAAAAAAATAAAAGTTGTTGTCATGTGATCAAGAGGTTACGGGTTCGAGTCGTGAAAACAACCTCTTGCAGAAATGTAGAGTAATGCGGCATACAATAGACCCTTGTGGTCCGGTCCTTTCCCGAACCCCGCGCATAGCGAGAGCTTAGTGTACCGGGCTGTCCTTTTTAAATTAAAAAAAAAAAAGGAAAAGAAAGGAGGGAGAGAGAGAAATAAAAGACCATAGAACTGACCATCTTGAGTCACTAGGGGATAATCAGAAGCACTTAGATTAATAAACCAATCCCAATCTTTATGCTTCTCAAGGAGAATAGCACAAGCATGAAGAGTATTAGCAACCATAGTTGGTCCCCTATAGGTCACCATATTTGCTTTAGTAATCATATGCACATTTCCAACGTGGGAAAAAATTGGATCTTTTTCCACTCTTAAAGCAAGTTCCAATCTCTCTTGTACATGTGATTCCAAGTCTAAATGAACAACATAGTAATTCCATGGATGATACAATGCTCTTAAACTTCTCCATAGCTTTTCAAGATCACCCTTTGATCCAGAAATTAAGTAAGCGAATCGCGGGATTGAAGGATTAACAGGAGGAGATGGAGCTAATTGCTTGATTTTTGCTTCAACAAAATATGAACTAGCTTGATTATTTGTCATAACACAAGCTAAGAATGTTGAGAAGATTGAATTGATTGTGTAAAATGGAAAAATAAGACTTATGTTGAAGGAGGTCCCTAGAAGGAAAAAACACACAAGTAGGATTATAACTAGAGGATTTGCACATGTTTTCTTCTCCATGTTTAAAGACCCCGGGCTATTGAAGACGAATTAAATCAGATGGTTTTATTTCTCAATATTTCTGAGTTGCTCTTGTGAGACCAAAGTCGGAAAAAATTGAAAAATTAGTCATTCACAACTACTGACGAAAGATTCCTCGTTCTTTGTTATTACCAAGAATTCTCCGACTTCTACGAAGTTAGACACTATGAAGAAAATTCTCAAAACACTCCGTAACTAGTAGCTTAGAACTAGAAGCTATACACTTTGTACTTTGTATCATACTATGTTTTATGACAGTATTTTATAGGACATTGTATTTTAAGATATTCATTTGATATTAAAAGTATGAACCATAGTTTTGCCTGGCGTAATCATTAGTTACCGAGACATGTATTATATAAGTGATAATAGAAAAGTCAATTTCACAAAGGAAATATCAAATGAAATTTAAGTATTGAACAGATAAATGAATCTGCAAGTGTTATTTTTTTTTTAAAATGGTCTTCAAAGTTGTACTGTATAATACTATTATTAAATTAGTGTTAACGTTTTCTATAAAAGACAAATAAAAAGGTGCCTTTGGAGATATCGAAATAGAGAGAATTTTATAGGAAAGTAAATAATTGGCAAACGGCATTTTACCCTGCATCAGCTGATATCCACGTACTCTTCGATTGAATTCAGTCAGAATAAAGACACAAAAGAAATATACTTCTTCTCTAGTTTGACCCCAAGACGGCAATTGTCTTGTCAAAATCTTAATAACTTTGAATTATTGAAGAAAAATATGTAAGTATGCAACAAGTATAAAAGGTTTAATATGTTTGACAGATTTAAACAAAATTTACTTGCTTATATATACTTTAAGAATGATTTAAGTACTTGATTCTAGAATCTTAAATTTTATCTCAAAGAGTATCTGCTCTGCACTTGGCAGAAAAGTGTATAAGACAATCAAAGACTTAAAGACGAATTGGTTCCGCCAAATGGCATCTTCGTAGCACATCTATTAGTAAAATAAAAAGATATACTTAAAAATTAATTATCAAAATTGAAATTATTAATGAATGATTAATTAATTTAACAGAAGTTTTATGTTGGTATAGGAATAAAATTATTGTCTTATAAGTCGCCTGCAATCCCCAGTTTTATAACCATGTGTACCATGAAATTCACACCACAAATTTGTGTCTCTCTTATTAGGATCCGACCGAATTGATTTCAGGAACCTTGCTTCCTTTATGTTCCTCGATCAGTTCTCCTGTCAGGTCCAGGTCTTTTTAATGATTGATAACCTCTAATTTCACGTCCTTGCCTTGCTAGAAAATCTGACCTTTCGTTTGATGCATACGGTTGGAAGTTGGAACTTGCTCCTAGAAGCCTCTGGTCTAAGTCGAGGTTATTTTTTTTTTACATTTTTAGATTTCGATCACGGTTAGAAACTCTAAAGAAACCGGAGAACTCAACTGAATATCTTCTATTCTGATTTAATTTATAACGAGTATGAACATCAGCCCATGTGGTTTTCTAAAACTCCAACAAGCTTCCTTCAACTTCCTTGAGACATCTAAGCTTAAAGGATTAAGGCACATGATAAATGCTTCCGCTATCCATTCATTTGGTACCGCCGGTAATAACATTCTTTCTTTTGGAACCTGATCATGAACTCCCAAAGTAATTATGAATCTCCTTGAGTTATTATGAAGATATTTGCTTTCTGCGCTCAAACTTTGCTTGCTCCAGCGTGAGCTTTAATAAAAGAATCTGCAAGCATTTCAAAAGAGTCAATTGAGTGTTTAGGTAAGAGTGAATATCATGTTAAAGCCTCTTTCATTAAGGTCTTTCTGAATTTCTTTAGCAAAACTTATTCGATCTCGTTTGTATTCGGTATTAGTTGAGGTTCGAACCTCTGACCTCCTTGATTTGGTTCTAGGAGGTCAGAGGTTCGAACCTCAACTAGCACATTTTATTTTGCAAATATTTGAAAGAGTCTTGTGGTTAAAAAATAGATTAAGTAGAATTGAACCTTTTCTAACTTAAGACTCAACAAAATTAATAGACTAATAGCTTGTTTGGCCAAGTTTTTTTTTGAGTCAAAAGTGTTTTTTTGGCCAAAAGTGCTTTTGATAAAAAATTGAGGTGTTTGGTCAAGCTTTTAGAAGGAAAAAAATATTTTTGATGAGAGGCAGAAGCAATTTTTGAGAAACAGAAAAATGTAGCTTCTCTGCAAAAGCACTTTTCTGAGAAGCACTTTTGAGAAAAATACACTTAGAAGCAGTTTTCAAAAGTTTGGTCAAACACTAATTACTGCTCAAAAGTGCTTTTCAAATTAATTAACCAAACACAAACTGATTTTCACCAAAAGTACTTTTTGAAAAGCACTTTTGAAAAAAACGCTTCTCAAATTAAGCAGATTTTAGAAGCTTGGCCAAACAGGCTATAAGGTTATTTCTTATCCAAAAGCATAATAATTAAAGTTATTATTCCTGTTTTTCAATAAATTTCGATATCGCTTATAAAAATTTTTGTGTACACCCCCTGCCCACAAAGCAACATTTAAATTTTAAGTTTTACTTACAAACTTGACTCCGCCAGCAAACTTCCAAATTGACTGTCCAATTTAAAAAAGAATTTATTATTAATGTTATAAATATATTATATTATGGATGTTCATTTAGTACTCCATTGTAAATAAGTTTCCTGAAGAACAGGGACGGACCCATATGATGTCAAACGGGTTCATATGAACCCGCTTCGTCGAAAATTTATACACGATATAAATGTTATCTAAAAGACTAAAACAGAACAAACCATAAATTAATAAAATTGAACCCGCTTGACAGTATGGTCGTTGTGGCGTGATGGTCCTAGCGGGTTCGGAACTACCGGAAAGTCTGGTGTTCGATCAATCGGCTGAACACATTCCTAGTTTATTTGGACTTTTTTGGCTTTATGCTTGAATGGTTACTTCAAACTCAGTTCAAAGTTGATCTATTTTTCTCACATGATTTTCAACAAAACATACAAGAATATTTATTAAAATGATTATTATTTTTTAGTTTAATCTAATTTGGTCTATATTGAAATTGTTTATTTGTACCAGGTTGTCTTTTTTTTTTTTATATATTATTATTCTTATTTGGCTTATAAGCTCTCTTTATATTGGTCTAGTTTATTTGAAAACTCCTTCGTTCGATTATTTTGTATCTTGTATCAGTCTAGTTTATTTGACAACTCCTTCGTTTGATTATTTTGTATCTTGTAAACAACAATTTGTTTTCCTCATATATCAAGGACAAGAATTCATTTTTTCTTATGTGTCGCAGAGTTTAAAATACTTTCAATTTGTTAATCAATTTAAAATATTTTAAAGCAAAATTTGTCAAATTAAGTAGATAAATTATCTTAAAGATAAATTTAAGTAGTTTTTTAAAAATTCTTTTATTAAAAAATGCATTACTTGTTAAAAATTAAGAGCGCAGAATTAAAAATGACTTTTTTGAGATAGATAATAAAAAGAAGAAAAACATAGTAGCTAGCAAACATTACTTGTTATAATGTTGATTTTATTGGCGGCTATCGTCGTGTTAATTTGAACCCGCTTATATAAATTCTGGGTCCGCTGCTGCTGAAGAAGCTTATCCATACGGGACTCCGCCGTAAATATGTTTATCTATTTAGTACTCTATTGAAAATAAGCTTCCTGAAGAAGCTTATCACTTTGGTACCCGGTTATGGATAAACATTACCTCCGGTAGAAGATTATCCATACCGGGTATAATAAGCTTATCCTTTCGATACTTCGTTATGGATAAACATTACCCCCGATAAAAGATTATCCATGCCGGGTACAATAAGCTTATCCTTTCAGTACTCCGTTATGGATAAATATTACCCCCAGTAGAAGATTATCTATACTTGGTACAATGAGCTTATCCTTTCAGTACTCCGTTATGGATAAACATTACTCTCAGTAGAAGATTATCCATATCTGGTATAGTAGCAACTTACACAGCAGGTTCCTTTCTTCTATAAATAGAAGAGATTTCAGTTCATTATGTACATCAGATTGAATTCGAATAATATATCAGTTTCTCTCTATACTTGTCTTTACTTTACAATCTTTATTTAATAACGTGTTATCAGCACGAGACTCTGCCATCTCGAGCAAATACTTTGAAAATATTAGAGGTACGAACTTTCTTTTCCTATATAATGTCAAATCTTTCTAAACTTGAATTTGTAGCCCTGGATATATTGGGCAAAAGCTATATGTCTTGGGTGCTTAATGTTGAAATTCATCTTGATGCGATGGGTCTGACAGACACCATCAAAGACAAAATTCATGCATCAAACCAAGACTGTGCCAAAGCAATGATATTCCTACGCCATCACCTTGATGAGGGCCTAAAAATGGAATATGTTACTGTTAAAGATCCAGTCATACTATGGAATAATTTGAAAGATAGATATGACCATTTGAAGATGGTCGTTCTTCCACAGACACGATATGATTGAACTCATCTAAGGCTACAAGATTTAAATCTATCAGTGAATATAATTCTGCTATGTTCAGAATTATTTTCCAATTGAAATTATGTGGTGATAATATTACTGATCATGATATGTTGGAGAAAACTTTCACCACTTTTTATGCCTCGAATATGCTCTTGCAGCAACAATATCGAGAGATTGGATTTAAAAAGTATTCTGAACTTATCTCACATCTTCTTATAGCCGAGCAGCATAATGGGCTATTAATGAAAAATCATGAAAGCCGACCTACTAGTTCTTGTCCATTCCCTAAAGTGAATGAGACGAACTTCCACTAAGCTAGACGTGGAAGAGGTCGTGGCCCCAGTCGTGGTCATGGCCGTGGTCGGGGAAGAAACTCTAATCATAGTAATAATAATGCACCAAAGAACCTTCCTCGCCACCAGCAGTGAAAAAGGAAGGAACAAAAGCATGAAGCGGTGCAAGCACCAAATGCAAAAAATGTATGTTATAGATGTGGAGGAAAAGGGTGCTGGTCAAGTACCTGTCGTACGCCAAAGCACCTGGTTGAGCTTTATCAAGCCGCCCTGAAGAAGACAGAGAAAAATGGTGAAGCAAATTTTATTTTTAAAGATAATTTAGACTTCATGCATTTGGATGTAGCTGATTACTTTGCACTCCTAGAAGGAGAAACAAGTCATGTAATCGATAGTGAATCTGTAGAAATCTAAACATTTTAATTTTTGTTGTTTGTAATAGATAGTATGGTTATATAATTGATGTATGTCACACCTCCTTTAGGCCGCGCCCGCAGGGGCGCAAAGGGAGTTTTTCCAATTAAAGGACAATCGAAACGGGATTTGTTTATTTATTTCAGAGTCGCCACTTGGGAGATTTATGATGTCCCAAGTCACCGGTTGAATCCCGAATCGAGAAAAAGATTGACTTTGTATTACAGTCCGCGAACCAGAAATCCGGATAAGGAATTCTGTTAACCCGGGAGAAGGTGTTAGGCATTCCCGAGTTCCGTGGTTCTAGCACGGTCGCTCAACTGT